AAATATTTACTATCTGGCCTTTTACAGAAAAAGTTTGCCAACCCTTGATTTATATATTCTCCCCACCTTACTGCATGGTCTCAGGGAAGTTCTCTCCCATTATCAACTAACCCATGTTTAGTGTTCACAAATGATATTTTTTATTGTTAAGATTATAGAAGACATGTCTTTGTTAATTGAAATTGACAGAGACACTCCAGCTATTTGATGACGTTTGAATTAGTCAGACCTTTGTATAGTCTGAAATAAGTGCTTCATTGTTTTTCTTCCAATGTCCGGTGGCATGTGACTGTAGGGTTCTGTGACTAAGAGCAGAAGAGATGTCACGGGCGACTCATAGAGCCATAAGGTGAGACAAGGGTGTCTTTAGCTCACTCCACTAGGAACACTCCACTAGGAAATCTGAATATAAAAGATCCTCTATGACTCTGTCTGCAAAATATATTTATTTGGTACCGATGTAGTTTGGAGGCTGTGAGTCCAGCCGACATTGGGCTTTATAGCAGAGTTCACAAAGTCACCTTTGTAGGGTCCTGACAGGCCAGTTCCGTCTGAAGCTCACCTAGGAGGCTGCAGTTCATTCTTGTCTCACCTGAACTGGACACCTTGAGGCAGCACTTAATTTGTTTCTCCTTCATTATAACACCTGTAAACTTTCCTTCCCTTGCCCATTACTCAGATTTTTGGCAGCCACTTCCAACCCACACCCCCAAATTATGTAATTTTTGTGTCATTCAACAGGTCTTACTCTTATACCATGATCCTAGAAGAGATCAGGCTTTCTGCTGGTATCAGGACACTACATGATGCTTAACTGATGTGTAGCAGTTTCTTGAAATGTATTCAGATGACTTAAACCTTTAGGCATACATATGTTTTACAAAATAGTTAACGAGTTAGAAAATGTTTACCCTCCATTTCTGTGAGATGTGATTGTTAAATAGAGATTGTTTAGCAAAAATATTCAGATGCTTTCTTTGATTTGCATTTTGTGATAAATAATTGGAATTAATCGAACAGTAATAATAGTGTACATAAAGGAAAACTACTTATAACAAATGTCATGTTAGAATATGAAAGACAGGTAGGGATTTGGGGCAGTTTAATAGATTATTTTATGAAGAACTTGAAATTATTGTATTTATTTTCTAGATATTTTAGCCAGATAAATTGATTTTAATTATAGAATAGATGGTCAGTTCCTGGTGTTATATACTTGGAATGTTAACCTTTATTCAAAGAAATCGGAAATTCAAACACAAAGGTCCTAGATTCAGAGTCAATCACAGTGATTTTTGAAATAGATATACTTTACATTCCTTTATACCTAGTAGTCAAGTCAAACCTTTGACTTTTATCTTTTTTCATATTTATTTTTAGTTTAATTTTGTTTCTGTCATTTTTCATGAACTTTTTGGAAATCAAAATATGTTGTTGCAATTCTTTGAATGACGAAACCATCAGACAGTATCTATGGATTGTTTTAGGTTCAGGAAGATTTGACTGAAGAGAAAAAAAGGGAACTGGAGCACAATGCTGAAGAGACCTATGGTGAAAATGATGAAAACGTACGTGCGGGGGGTATATTTTTATTGAGTGTGGGGTGTG